AACTTATTGTGCCGGAGGAGTCGGTGTTCACAAGCTTTGCTAACAGAGGGTGATATAAGGAGGTCGTGTGCGTTAGATTTTTGTGAGCTTCTGCACTGGGGTACTGGCTCAATGTGATCAAACAGGCTTGGCTGGCCAGCCAAAGCCACGATTACGTGGACTCGATTGGCATGAAGATATTGAAGACAATATCGAACTGCCAGCTCCAACCCCCCAGCCAGCGTGAGATGGATGAGAATGTAGCTCTTGGTCTGGAGGGTAGTTTCTGTACCCCGCCCTCGGTACCGCGGGGCTGGGAGTTCGAAGCGTGAAGCTGCCAGAGTCGAATATCCAGGGGCCTCCCTGGGCAGGCATCCAAAGGTTTTTCCGTACACATGTTTGCCAAATGATAAGCGCCGGACTGGCAGAAGGCAGGGTCGCCCGCGTAGGCACGTCACGCTCCACTGCGTAGGTGATGCTGGCTCCGACGGCCTAGCACCAGGCGAATCGAGATAGTGAAAACAAAGGTTCTGACCTCTTACCTTCCACATTCAGAAGAGGAGGAGGAGGAGGAGGAGGAGGAGGAGGAGGAGGAGGAGGAGGAGGAGGAGGAGGAGGATAAGGAGGAGAAGGAGGAGGAGGAGGAGGAGGAGGAGGGAGGCAGGAGGAGGAGGAAGAGGAGGAGAGGGAGGAGGAAGAAGAGGAAGAGGAAGGTGAGGAGCAAGAGTGGGAGGAGGGAGCAGGAGGGATGGAGGGATGCAGGGATGGAGGAGGGAGGAGGGAGGAGGGAGGAGGGAGGAGGGAGGAAGGAGGAAGGAGGAGGGAGGAAGGAGGAAGGAGGAAGGGAGGGGAGGGAGGGAGGGGGAGGGGAGGAGGAGGAGGAGGAGGAGGGAGGAGGAGGAGGAGGAGGAGGAGGAGGAGGAGGAGGAGGAGGAGGATGGAGGAGGGAGGGAGGACGAGGACGAGTAGGAAGAGGAGGAAGAGGAGGATTAGGACGAGGAGGAGGAGGAGGAGGAGGAAGAAGTAGGGAGGAGGAGGGAGGAGGGAGGAGGGAGGAGGACGATGCCAGATCCTCGCCTTCCTGCCGCTCGCCCCGCCTTCGTCAGGGGCGGCCGCGAGATTCGCGGAGAGGGAGAGCCCAGAGGCGCCAATGGGCCGACTCTGAAGGAGGAGGGCGACGACGACGACGGGCCACGGGCCACGGGCCACGGGCCACGGGCCACGGGCCACTGGCCACGGCCCACGCGCCACGCGCCACGGGCCACGGACAACGACGACACGACGACGACGACGACGACGACGACGACGACGACGACGACGAGGACGACGACGACGACGACGACGACGACGACGAGGACGAGGACGACGACGACGACGGCGACGGCCACGGGCCAGCCCAGAGGCGCCAAAGGGAATGCCAACACGTCCATCCCAGCCACCGCCATCATTTGTCCGTGTGCCGTGGGGTCCGGGGTCCTGGTCCTGTGGTGTCGCCACTGTGGGTCTTGGCGTATTCGGGCCTCCAGCAACGACGACGACGGCGGCCGCTGGCCCGAGCGGCCCAGAGGCCAAAGGGACGGGGAGGCCTGGAGCCGAACAGCCCAGCAGAGGCCCAGCCTCCCAGTCCCCCTCTGGCCACGGGAAAATCACGACGGGAAAATGCTCACCATTTTCGTCCTCTGGGGCCCTCGCTGGGCCTCGGGCCCGTCAAACAACGGTTCCGGTTGAAAAACCGGTCCCGGGGAATGGGTCGAGACCTCTGGGGGTCGACGTCATGAACAAAAACATGACGTTGGGGGTCTCGGCTCGGAGACCAGTAGGCAACCATATGCGAGTCCTACCCCTGCAGCTCAGACTGCGAAGGCCTTACGGCGGGCGCTGCCGACACTGAGGGGGCAGGACGACGACGACTGACGACGACGACGATGACGACGACGACGGCCACGGGTCCGAGCGGCCCAAAGGCGCAATGGCAGTGGAGGCCTGGAGCCGAGCAACCCAGCGGAGGCCCAGCTTCGGAGATCGGGAGGCAGCCACGTGCGAACCCTAAGGCAGGCTCGTGTCGTGCCGACCCCGGCGTGGGTTCCTGACACCGCAGGGATCGTTCAATGGGACGCACAGGGACATACTAGTACTATATGTCCTCCTTGGAGGCGCGCGTCCGACCCGAACATATAGTATACCCATCTTGTAGTATATCGTTTCCCGAGCGGGGCGGGCTGAAAGCGCCCGCAATGACACATATACTATAAGATTTCTCGGTGCGCGCGTCGCCCCTGGGGGGGAGACGCACATATAGTATAAGTATGTTGGGGTGACGCGGAGAATTCAACCTCGAACGATCGGCCATTTCCGAAACGTCAGATCGTTCATCATCGACCGCCGGCGGCATCCAACGTTGAACGCTGGCAGCTGGGTCGCCGCCGGTCGGCACGAGACGAACCTGCCGTACTCATACAGGTTAGATCTCGGAAGCGCCAGCCAGGGCTCAGAATTCGACGGGTGTCTACAGCGCGGTGCAGCCCAGCGGGGTGGTCCGATGCCACGTGGGCGCCGAGTGAGCCCGCAGGGGTGGACTCGCAAGCGGCCGCAGGGCCCGGGGCCGGAGGCCTCTCTGGGAAGGCCGCACTCCGGCCTCTGACGGCCCAGGGGCCAGCCCCCATCAGAGCGGGGGGGGGGCAGCGCACCCGCGGCCGAAGCCCGCTCCTGCACCTTGTGGGCGCCAGCGGGCCTCCATGCAGGAAGGCCCGCCCTCCGTCTGCCGCGCCGCGCAGCGGGCCCCGGACGCACGGGCAAGAGCACCCGGAGTGGAGGTCAAAAGCCTTAGCTTACCGGGGGCTGCCAGAGGTGGTCCTGGCCCGAGGTGTCCCCAGCTCTGGCCTCCCTAGAGAGATCCTCTGGACACCTTGGGCCATGGATGCACATGGCCACACCCGAACTTCCGTGACGTTCTCGGGCCTCCGGCTGGGAGGGGCGCCGTCCGTACTCCGCGCCCCTCCCCGACTAGCTCCCAGGCCAGCGGCGCTCCTGCTGCATCACGGTCGCCGCGTCTTTCTCGGTGAAGTGTTTCTCCTCGCGGGGGAGGAAGGTGGAGGAGGAAGGAGGAGGAGGAGGAGGAGGAGGAGGAGGAGGAGGAGGAGCAGGAGCAGGAGCAGGATAAGGAAGAGGAGGAGGATGACCAGTGCAAACCCAAGACGCATTATCGATGCTGCAAACACCCCTCCCATCAAACTATGTCTTCACAGTTCCGTGCGATCATGTGTTCACTGCGAGAAGTTGTTCATTAGAAGCCATTGTCCGAAAATCAGCAATCGTGCCAGAACGCCACTCCTGGGAGCCAAGCAACGTGAGAATTGCGTCCGGGCAATCCGAAATCGTACGACAACACCATTCCAACGACCATCACACCACGAATTACCGTGATTAATGCGTCCTGAAAAAAAAAAACGAATTCGGGAGGACGCGGCACTCGTTGGATACGAACCCTTGAAAGGTCGCACACTGTTAAAACAGATGCGCGCGGCGCTACATCAAGAGTCGCACTTGGGTGAGACGAACAGCAGCTCCAGGAACTGGAGTGGTAGGAGCGGGAGGGACAGACGGACCCGGGGAAGGCGAAGGAGGGGAAATGAGAGGGGAGCCAGAATGAAGCAAGACTCGGATCCAGACAAGTGGCCCGCGCTGGGGCGAGAGTGCCATTCTGAACGATGGGAGCAAAGCATCGACCTGAAATTGAAGCCACGCTGCAACGGAAACGTTAATTTGAAACGCCGAATCCCATCGTATTAAAACATCCATCGGCACATCAACTTTTGAAACCCTGCGTGTAAACAGATAACGCACTCGGAGGGGGCGGGAGATCTTCCGAACAACATCGGGGGAGGAGGGAGAGTAGTATTCATATGGTTTGGGTGTTGAGGCGGAGAAAAAGGAGGAAGAGGAGGAGGAGGAGGAGGAGGAGGAGGAGGAGGAGGAGGAGGAGGAGGAGGAGGAGGAGAGGAGGCTGAGGGGAGGGGGCGGTCGTCGGGGGGTTGGGTGCCGAGGAGCGGCTGTGCGGCGTCCGCAGTCGCCAGGGCCTCGTGCAAGCCTGTTGCTCCCTGCTGCGTCCTGGTCTGGCCTCGTGCAGGTCTGGGCTCTGCCCTGGGCGTGCCCGTCGGCAACGGCCCAGGCCCCACGGCGGGGCTGCCCTGCAGCCACGCGATCCAGTTCCTCGTGGCTCGGGCGGGCCTCCCCATACCCTATGCTCCTCCTGGCTCGCAGCAGAGAAGCGAGAAACAGGCGTCACGGCGAGAGGTCCGGCACTGGAACAGCCTGCGCACCGTCTCGGCGGCGGCTGCCACCCCGAGAGCCCACGGGGGGAGGGGCTCTCGTCGCGACCGCCACCCTCCCCGGCGAAGGGAGGTCCGGCCCCGAGTTCCGTTCAGGCGGCCCAGCGCACAGAAACGCAGAGGAGGGAGGGATGGGAGGGGGGGGGGCGGCTCTCGTGGCCCTGGGCATGCGTGTGTGTGTGTGTGTGTGTGTGTGTGTGTGTGTGTGTGTGTGTGTGTGTGTGTGTGTGTGTGTGTGTGTGTGTGTGTGTGTGCGTGCGTGCGTGCGTGCGTGCGTGCGTGCGTGCGTGCGTGCGTGCGTGCGTGCGTGCGTGCGTGCGTGTGTGTGTGTGTGTGTCGCATTCGGGTTCGGCAGCCTTCTTCTTCGCCTTCTTCTTATTCGTCATTTCTTGTTGTTGTTATTATTCTTCTTTTCGCTGCCCTTGCCCTCTGTCTTCGTCCTTCCACTCCTCCTCCCCTCCCTCTCGGGTGTTGCCAAAAGTGGTCCTGGTCCAGGGGATCCTAAATTTTTCGCGCCATTTCAAAGACCCCGAGCCCTCAGGGGCCTCCGGAAATCCTGGGGGCAACCATGGGCCAGGGACATCTTGGTAACACCCGATCCCCTCCGCCCCCTCCTCACGAGCGGCAAACATATCCGAAAGAGCGTGTTCTACCGCTGCTGGCGGAAAACGGGGGGGGTCACTACCGGTTCGAACCCCTCCCCCCCCACCCTCCGGAAAACCGGGGGGGGTCACTACCGGTTCGAACCCCTCCCCCGCCCCCCCAGTTCATCATGAAAAGGGGGGGGGTCACTACCGGTTCGAACCCCCCCCCCTCCCTCGAACTCGAAAACCGGGGGGGGTCACTACCGGTTCGAACCCCCCCCCCTCGAAAACCGAGGGGGGGTGCGGACAGTGGTGGGGACGGTGGTGGTGGGGACAGTGGTGAGGGGACAGCGGGACAGTGGTGGGGACAGTGGGACAGTGGTGGGGACGGTAGTGGTGGGGACAATGGTGAGGACAATGGTGGGAACAGTGGGGACAGTGGGACAGTGGTGGGGACGGTGGTGGTGGGGACAGTGGTGTGGGGACAGTGGGAATGTGGTGGAAACAGTAGGACAGTGGAGGGTACAGTGGTGGTGGGGACAGTGGTGAAGGCGGTGGCGAGGACGGCGGTGGGACAATGGGACAGAGGTACAGTGGGGACAGTGGTGGGGACAGTGGGGACAGCTCAGTGGTTCGAACCGGTAGTGACCCCCCCCTCCGGTTTTCGAGGGGGGGGGGGTTCGAACCGGTAGTGACCCCCCCCAGTTTTCGAGTTCGAGGGGGGGGGGGGGTTAGGGGAGGGGGGGTTTTGCCGGGAGAAGGGGGGGGGGTCCAGCAGGGGGGGGGGGGTTCGGAGGGGGGGGGGGACCCCCGGGTCCCGGAGGAAAAGGGCGGCAATTTTCCACAGCAAAGCGGCGGTGGATCACGCTCTCTCACATATCCGCATCTGCGCCCTCGCAGTCTGGATCCTGGGGCGCGATCCCGCAGGTCCGCGGTCGCACGGATACGCTCTGCGAGGGGCATCCGGGGAAAGACGCCGCGCATCCGCGGGGTCGCATCCCAAAGGCCCTGCCCGCGAGGCCGTGGCTGCGGCAGGCCCGTGTCGCGACGACCTGCGCGCTGGCTCCCGACACCGCGCGGACCGGTCGACCCTGCACGAGCGGCGGCTTCTCGACAGCCAGGTCGTTCCGCTCCGTGGGGTGTTGCTATAGAAGTGCTTGGGACCCCCCGAACCGGGTGGTGAGATACCAGGTGGCGACCTGGAACCCCCAAAAAGGTCACCGCTGGGTTTGGGGACACGGGGTCACCACCGGGTTTTGTGACTCCTGGCCCCACCAGTGTTCGGGACATCCTCGGAAAACCGCACGAGTCCCCAAAGTGCCCTCTGGCCCACGGTGCCCCCCCTCGGGATTCCCGAGGAGGCCCCCACGGCCGAGCACCCCTCGCGAGGCTCAGAGGGCCCCACGGGCTCCAACCTTGAGCGAAAAGCTGGGGGTAGCGTGCGCCATGGCCAGCTTTTGGCGGCGAGCGAGGGGGGGAAGTGAGAAGGAGAAGGCCCTCTCGGAAGGCGGCGGCACTCCTCAGAAGCCCTCGCGCCTTCTGAGAAGTGTCTTCTGTCTTCGGGGAAGGCTTCAGGCACTTCTCATGAGGCCGCCGGGGGACTTCCGAGCTCTCTGAGGAGGCCTCCTCCCTCCCGCTTCCCCCCCCCCCCTCGCTCGCCGCCGAGCCTTAGCAGCCCCCGACTCTGGCTGGTCCTGGGCCGCGTCGCGGCCTGCGGCCCAGAGCGCCCGCGGCGGGGTCGCCACAGCGCCGACGCGGCGCGGACCTGCCGCGCCGAGCCGCCCCCCTCCCGCCCGCGGGAGGGGCGGCTGCCCGTCGGCGCGCGGAGGCCGCAGGCCCGGCTCCGGGGCGGCCGGCGGGGGGGCGGCCGCGGCACCGCGCGCCTGGTCGCGGTCACGTCCTCGCTCTGTGCGAGCATGTCACATGCTGTCACAGAGCCCGGGCAACCTGCTGCACCCCGACGCGCGGCCCACCATCTTCGCCATCGCATGCCAGCTTCCCCCATGACCTTCCACACCTCGTTTGCGTGTTTGGCCCGAACATGGCGTAATGGAAGGTGGGCGCCATCGAAGCATGTGTGTTCCCTTGCCGTCGCTCGGACGCCCATTACCGGAACATGCTTCGAGTTCGTGCGTGTGCTTGTTGCTCGGTGATCCAGGATGCTCCTCGGTGGTCCTCGCCGAGGAAAAAACGCACACGTCCGAATGATGCCACCTTTCTCGAGCTTGAAGAACTTTGATCGTGTCATCTTGGTTTTTGGACTCGAGCTGACATGTCGAGCCAGCCCTCTGCCCCATGAGGACCCTCGAGACAGCCAGCTGGCGCCGAAGATAACCCCAATAGGCCTCCAAGAGTCTCCAAACGCGCCCGTACGAGCCCATGTAGTCAGCCCAGTGGTCCGAATGGCTTTCGCGATCGTGCGAAACTTTCTTTCTTCTGGGTTTCGGCGGACTCGCGCGAGCCTCTTGAATAACACTGGTCGCTGCCTCTTGGGAAGTCAACAACTCGGTCGTACATCTGCGATTGTCTTGCAGGTCCTGGTCAATATCGTGTTGTGGCATGTTGGGAAGTCTGCGGGCTAGCGTAGCCATGCCACGAACACGCCCCTGCAGCCCTCTGGGTTCCTCGATGATCCTGTCGAACAGTTCGCCGCCCTGGCACATCTCCATCACCAGGTAGACGTAGCGGCTGTCCTGAGCGGGCAGCAGAGCTCGGACGCGCGACGCCTGGAGTGCAGATGGCGACGGGGAGGGGACAACAACAGGCTGATCCGAGGATGTCTTTCTTGGGTGTGAGCTACCCTGCGTTGGGGAGCATGTTCCGAACCTGGTCCCGCATTTCGGATACGAGCTGGCGAAGCGCTGACTGAGCAGGTAATCAACGCCACGCAATCGAACAAGTAAGTAAACGTGCAGACAATCGGTCAGGCATTACAACACCACAGGCGAACTCGTAAGCAGACCCATCGGATCACGACCCGTGCGCGTCGCAGTGGTACTAGGAACACAGAAGAGCCATTCCTTTAAGAAAGCCGGTTGAGGTCACAGAAAGACGGGGCAAGGCGAGGACATGTGGAAAGAACGCTGGTGTCATCCTCAGCGTGCCAGAAAGTCAGCTTCGCCATCATGCCCAACACTCGTGCAACAGATCCCAACCAGCGGATCCGACTGCCCGCGATGTGACGCCTTGGACGCACGCTCAACTTTGGGCAGGCGTGCAGCGCTCCCCCTTCTGCTGGCAGGTATCCCTGCCGATGGCCGTCCTGCGGCCACGCGCTCTGCTCGCCTCGTGCTCGGCAGGAACACACCACCAGGAAAGCGGGCCGCGACCAGATGTGCGACGCACAGAGACATACTAGCTCTAGATGTTTTCCTTGGAGGCGCGCGTCCGAACCGAACATCTAGTATGCCCATCTTGTAGTGCATAGTTTCCCGAGCGGTGCGGCCAGAAAGCGCCCGCCGCGACACATCCACGATAAGATTTCTCGGTGCGCGCGTCGCCCCTGGGGGGGCGACGCACATATAGTATAAGTATGTTGGGGTGATGCCAAGCAGCAGAAGTGCATGCACAGCGAGTGCGCAGTCCAGCGGCGTGCAGGGGCCGCAGCACGTTCCGGGAAGCACCCCAGCCCCGAGCCAGCCAAATCCGTGCAGATGGCCGACGTTTTCCCCTCCTTGCACCCGCGGCCTAGTTTCGCCGAGATGTTGCAAAACATACAGAGGCGATAGACAAGCCTGGTCGTCTTGCGACAGGCGCCCCCCGGTACGACGGACCCGAACAAGCCACATCCTCTCCTCCCTCCCTCTCCTCCCCTCCGCCTCCTGTAGAGAAGAACCGACTGTAAACATGAGCGTTGGAGGGTCCGCACAGATCTCTGGGATCTGCGCTGGACCCCCCTAGAGTGCGGAACGCGCCACGGGCGACGCCGCAGTCGCCGCCAGGGGGTCCAGTCACATATCCAAGAAATCCGCGCGAACATTCAACAGCTCATGCCTATGTGTTTCCTTCGTTACTCCCCGTCCGCCCCCTCCCCTGTTTTTCCCTCTCCTATCTCTCTCCCTCCCTCCCCCTTCTGGGCACCGCTGACATGGGCTAGAGATCCGTGGATCTGGCGAGGGGGGGGGGCCAGATCCACGTATGAGAGTGTATCCCACGACCCGTGCCCATGCCGCCCGATCTGGCCACGAAGCCCGTCGCCAATCCACGCGCCCTGATCCATGCCTGCGCGTCCTCGACCCTCGCATCCCGCGCACCCTCGCCTCCCCTCTCCCCGGGCCTGGAAGGTCTGGAACAGTTTGACGACGTTGGGGTGGTCGAGCTTAGTCATGATGCGGATCTCCTGGCGCGGCCGCCGCCCGCGGCGCGGAGCGCTCCCTCTCTCCTCCCGCCTTCCTCCTGCATCATCACCCTTCCTCCCTTCTCCCTCCGCCTCCTCCCTCTCAATCCTCATCCTCCTTGGCTTCCGAGGGAGGGAGAGAGAGAGAGAGAGAGAGAGAAAGACATACAGCAACAACAAAACAACAGACAAACAAGTCAGATGAGCCGCTTCACAATGGAGCTGACCTGTCCTGCTGGTAACCCCCCAGCGTTCACCCGCCGCTTGACCTCATCGGCGTGTCTCAGAAAATCGTGAGCGCGCGCGCGCGTGTGTGTGTGTGTGTGTGTTTGTGTGTGCGTGTGTGTGCGTGTGCATGTGTGTGGCTCCACTCGTCAGCGCAGTCACTCTGCCTAGCCGCCGACGCAAACAGTGTGTGTGTGTGTGTGTGCGTGTGTGTTTGTGTGCGTGCGTGTGTGTTTGTGTATGTGTGCGTGTGTGTGTGTGATCGTGCGTGTGTGTGTGTGTGTGTGCGTGTGTGTGGATGTGTATAGGCGTGTGGGTGTCTGTGTGTCCGGGTGTCTGTGTGTGTGTGTTTATGTGTGCCTCTGTCTGCCTGTGTAGCCGCGCCCGCCCCTCCCACGCGCCCTTCGACACTGGCCTTCCGAACCAAAGGGCCACCGGCCCTTTCGCACCTGCCCGTGGCGCCCGGCCCTCACCTCCTCTACTGCTTTGGTTCGCCTGCTTACCTTGGCGGCGCGCACAAGGGGGTGGAGGGAGGGGGGGCGGCTTCTTTGAAGGAGGCTGCTTCTTAGAAGGCGCCGGCCCAAATCTATAGACAAGGCCCGCGCCTTCTAAGAAGCAGGGGTGCTTGTAAGAAGCTCTCCCCCCTCCCCCCACCCCCCTCTGCGCGTGGCTGATTACCGCCTCGCCTGGCACGCCCGGCAGCCCTTTTTTGCAGGCCTCTACCCGTTGGCCTGCTCTCGGGACCCAGCCCTAGGCATGGTCGCCTGGTGGAAGTTTTTGCCGCTTTCGTCCTCCTAGGGCCGTCGCTGGGGGCCCCCAGACCACCAAACACTGGCGCCCGGGGTGGAAAGCCAGCCCCGGGGAAGGGGTCGGGACCCCTGGGGGCCCTGTCCTGTCAAAAAGGAACGGTGCATGGAGGAGGAGAAGATCTTTTGAGGGGCAACGATAGGAAGGGACTGGCATAGGGGGGGATGCATCGACCTAGAATCGGCGATACATCGCCGATAGATCGGCGATAGGGCCCCGATCGTGAATCCGCGCCTTCCTGGGCAGGTTGGGGCTATCGGGCCCCTATCGGCGATCAATGGGCGATTGGGGGTCGATCCACCCCCTCCCTATGCCTGTCCCCCCCTGTCCTCACCCCTGATCTTTAGGGCCAGCATCTTGCTTGCCAGCCGCCGGAGTCCTCGTGGGCTCCCCCCCGGTGGCTCGAGGCCCCCGTGGCTGGCCGCGGCTTCCCCGCGCTATACCGCTGTTCGGGGCGGTATCGGGTGGTGCTAGAAGTACCCCTGGCCCAAGGTACCCCCAGGATTCTCGGGGTGGCCCAGACGGCCTCCAGGGCACCCCTCACGAGGCCCAGAGGGCCCCAGGGCGAAAAGCTGGGGGCACCTTGGGCCAGGGGCACTTCTAGCAACACCCGGCGGTGGGGGGGACCTGGGCTGGTCAGGTCCGGCCCAGGCTCCCAGCGGACGACGTTGTGGAACGTTCTGCCCGAGGGGGGTCCATCTGTAGAAAAAAAACATCCTCATCCACTGAGCTGAGTGCCATGCGTTGGCACGCCCCCCATGCCCAAGCACGGAGACGTCGTGATCATGTCGCGACGTGGACCCCAAACGTCTGGACCCTTTACCCCTGGACTAGCTCTCCACGCCGAGTCGTTTTTCGACAGTCCCGGGGCCTGGTGAGGGCCCCCGAAGGGCCGAAAACGGCCACGAACCTCCCCTCGCTTTTTGTTTCGCGACGCGAGCACGTCTGCGTACAGTTCCCTCCGCGGCAGTGGTGCCGCTCCTCCGGCGAAGAGAAGTGCCCTTCGGGAGGGCGGGGGGGGAACTGCGAGGCACGGCACGGGCGACGGACGGCGGCGGGCAGGTCCAGCGGCACTGACGTGCGGGAGCACGCGCGGGTGTCCCCAGAGAGGGCCTGTGGTCGGCGCGAAGAGGGGCCCGAGCGCGTCCACCAACCCCCCTCGCGTTGCCAGGTTCGGCCCCTGGGTGCCCAGGAAACAACTTGGCATGGAAAATCGGTCCGGGGGGAAGGGCACAAACCTCGGGGGGTTCACACGTTGCGAAAAAGATCACCTTGTCAGGGTGGCCTGATGGTCCGTCCCATTTTGTGTATTCCGTCAGCGTCGGCCACAAGAAAGGATGGTCCACGGTGCGATGAGATCACGCTGTCGGGGGGTTGGGCCCGATGGTCCGTCCCTCTTTGCGTATCCTGTCGGCATCAGCCACAAGAAAGGATGGACCAAGAGCTTCTCGGTACCACCAGGATCGCCTCCGTCTCGGACTGCCTCCACAAGGAGATGAGGCCTGGAGATGCACGGGTACCTAATTGGCAACATGATCGCGTGCAGGGTGAGAGCAGCAAACTACACTGTGGAAGCAGAGTAAACAGCAGGCAGCACTGCAGTACAGGCAGAAACAATTGGACAATGGCATGAGGCGACCCTCCTTCTCAAGCTTCTCCATGTTGGTTAGTCTCGTCTTCTGGATAAGCTTGACTGCGTACGAGATGGCAGTGTGCTTGTCCTTGGCAAGGGGTCGAGGTAAAGGAGGAGCTGGAAGTAGGCGCAGGATGTTGCACAGGACTTCGTGACAACAACTGCGAAGGGGGGAGAGCGATGCCATTCCACACGCAACAGACAGAGACAGGCAGAGGGAGAAAGAGAGAGAGAGAGGGATACACATACACACACATACATAGAGAGAGAGGGAAAGAGAGAAAGAAAGGGGCATGGAAAGATGGAGAGAAGGTAAAGGGCTGGCGTCGAGCCGAGGGCTCGGAGAACTGCGATTGTAATGAGTGTGTCTCTTCCCAGGTGCGCGCCAGCGTCCTTGGGGAATTGCAACATCGGCGGATGGGGCTTGCCGCCTGGCTGCAGTTGACCGGCAGTGCTCCTGCACTCTGCTCCTGCGCCGCATCGCCGCAAGGCGATACGCCACAGCTGAACTCAGACACCGCAGCAAGGCCAACACAACCACGTCCGTGCTACATTGCCAGACCCCCTCGGGTCATGAACAAATCACGACGGGAAGTTTCCTACATTTCTTGCCTCTGGGGGCCCTTACAGGGCCTCGGGACCGTCGAAAAAACGAGAGGATGAAAACCGGTCCGAGGGAATGGGTCCAGATCTCTGGGGGTCGACGTTATGGACCAAAGTCATGACGTCGGGGGTCTGGGTTGCATGCTCTGCCAAGGAAGCCTTTTGACCTAGTCTTTATGACACGCGATGACACATCGCGTTTCGGAGCCCAAGGCGCATCGATGCAACGCCACGCAATGCGCAACCTTGAGGATGCAAGCGGAGCCTATGCTGTGCCCATGGTGAATCTCAGATTCAGCTGGGCCGTGCACGCATGGAGGGAACAGGGCGAGACCCAACGCTGGTGAGGCAACCCTGGCGGGCAGAAACCATCTTCCAGCCACCGCATGACGCCGAGAGGGGACAACAAAAAGTGCTCCGTTCGCGAAGCGGCCAAGAAACCATGGTCGAGCCAGACTCAACACTTCGTCTTTAACCATTTTTAACAGTTAGTACCCTCTCTCCCTCCTTCTCCTCCTCCTCCTCCTCCTTCTCCTCCTCCCCCTCTTCCTCCAGGAGGAAGATCTCCAGCGAGCTCAAGCCAACAAGCGTTCTAGCACCGTGCGCAGTGGCGAATCAGAATGCGCGCAGCCACAAGGTGGTTCCTGACGTTGGCACGGCACGGGCGGCCGACAGTCCCTCAGGGTTGCCTCTGGGGGCGCTCCGTGACGCCAGCTCGGCCAGGGAGTCGGGCTGCATTTCGCGTCGGCATTGAGATCACCCCATCGGAGCACGCAGCTGTTCGCGCAACCGAAGCGTCGCAGTCTTGCCACCTTCATCACGTCGCTATCCCCCATCTTCGGAGAGTAACATTGCCCTGGCGGACTGTCCGAGACTCGAGGGAGGCTACAAGAAAAACGATATCGAGAAGATCACGCGAAATGGAAGGAAATTGTCCCCCAATGGGTCAGCCTCCCCCTGCAGAATTAAACATGGATAGTGTGCAGGTGTTCAGGCTGGGTACCCCCGCCGCCATCAAGATGAACGCTGTCCTTCCCCTCGCACACAACGCCGTAGCCCCCGGCTCCCAGCTCTTTCCTGGAGTGGTCGGGCGAGGGAGGCAACGGAGCGTCAGCTGGCCATGCACGTAAATCCGTGAGGCACACGCAACACACAACACACGCAGACACACAGACACACACACACACAACACACAAACAGAAACACAACCACAAACCATACACACAAAACACACACGCGCGCACACAAACACATACTTACACACAAACACGCAAACATTCACACAACACACTCACACCACACAAGAACACACACACAACCACGCGCACACACATTAGAACAAGGGTAAGGCACTGTATAGCCAGAGCACTGGGGCCACACACTGGAGGTAGCGTAGATACAGTGCCTCTCGAATGCTACGCTGCAGGCAGACCAACACTTCAAGACACTCCTGCTGGGCACCTGCTGCGAGGGCATGTTCTTGTCCTCGGCACGGGCTGCAGACACGCGGCTTTCTTGCAACTCTCGGCGTGGCGCAGCTGACAATGGTGGCCTCCACCCCGCCCGCGGCACAACCGCCCGCGGCTTAAGGGGGTCCACCGTCGAGCGGCGTCAGCGCAAGCCCAGCTGGGCTGAAGCCTGGCGAGAAATCGCGTCCCTGGCGGTGACACCGTGACCGCGAACACTGACAAGCTTACGATGCCGTGGTGCGACGACCTTCTGTCCTGGCTGTGGTCTGCCCCAGCATCTGCTACCATCCGACACTTGCTTGGGGGGGAAAGGGGGAGGTTAAAAGGGGAGGGGGGCAGATGTGGACGAAGGTGGGCGGGCGAGGGGCGGGAGGGGGGCAGGACGGGGAGAGGGGAGAGACAGGGTGGGAGGGGGTCGCTGATGCTTCTGGGAGCGCTCAGGCTGCTAAGATTGGCCTTTCCTTCGCCGGCGAGCGGTTCTGACAGCAGCTGGGACACCGATCTGGGCCAAGAGTGCTGGAAAGAAGGTGCCGCGGCCGAGAACCACACTGCTGGGTAGTGGCGTTCCCGCGAGAGGGCAGGAGGCGCAGCCGCGCCTCTGCAGCTCTATGAAGTCCTCGATCCTCGCGGGGCGGAAGCGCGGCGAGCGGCGGAACAAGCAAGCACATCGATTGGAAACGAGGTCGGCAGGCACGAGCGCAGCCCCATCTTGTTCCACAGCCTGTCAAGTCTGTCTGACATCGTATCTCATGCTGGCGTTTCGCAAGGGCAGGTGATTTCCGCGTCAAGGTACACGCAATAACTCTAAGCGATAAACCTCTGTTCATGGTAGCATCTCCCTGTGCTCCATCGCCTCGTCTTTCGCAGCGCACCCTCGAACTGAACACATCCGCTGTCCACGCCCTCCTCACCCTCCTCTTCGTTGCCCTGGCCTTCACCCTCGTTTCCTCCTCCCCCCTGCTCCAACACAGCTTCCACCAATTCTTTCTCTTACTCTTGATCGCACCCTTCCCTCATTTAGAGGCGATCTGTCCCCCTCTTGATCATGTCGCCAATCCCACCCATGCTGGAATGTTCTCCCCTCCTGCCATTTCTCGTTTTTCTTTCTACGTCTCTCCCCCCTCTCGTGACCCTCTGTGGTCTGGGTCCTCTTGCCCTCGTTGCAGGGCAGTTCGAACTTCCTGCTCGTGCTTTCCTTCACCGGTGCGCCCATGAAGAACTCTTTGACCCTGTCCAGCAGGCGGGGCAAGCAAGCTGATTCTTCCGCGCAACTGGTATTCTGCGGGGGCGAGCACCCGCTCATTCTGCGCCGTTGCGGCCTGTCATGGCGGGGCCTTGGGCAACGCTTTGGAAAATATGGCGCTGGCGTACAATACAGACGCTTGACACCAGAGACACGCCGGCAGTTGCCGCCGCCATATCAAAATCTTCGATAAGTGCGCTCCTGTATTGAACCATGCAATCTTCAAACTTTCCCGAAGACCACTGCTCGACACCCTCCCTGAGTCCAGAAGTATGTGATGGCTCTCCAGGACCACTCCGAACTCTCCTTGATATGGCTCATAAGTGGTGCACCGTGCGCGGGCCTAATATTCAGCGGGCTACCATAAGTATCCAAAACGATCGAATGAAAACACTGGCGGTGACGGGTCTCAAGAAGCGCGAGCTTGGGGCAGGGGAGGATAATGAGGAGGAGAAGGAGGAGGAGGAGGAGGAGGACGAGGAGGGGACCTCCTCCTCCCTCTCCTCCTCCTCTTCCCCCCCCGCCTCCCTCTCCTTCTCCTCCTCGCGTTGGGGCTGGGCTGGGCTCTTCATGGCGGTGAGTGCTGATCTGCACCCGGCACGGGCCATGGCGGAGCGCAAGCGACAGCGACGAGCCTCTGGGAGACCGCAGGGCAAGGGCAAGGGACCAGACGGGGCGCGCGGGAGCGAAGAGGAGGGCGGGATCGGGGGGGGGGGGTGCGCTGCCCACGGCGGGAGTGGAGAGGGAGAGAGGAGGGATTGAGGGGGGTCTTTGGCCGAATGGAGGGGAACAGGAGGGAGAGACGCGGGAGGGAAAGGAGGGTGCAGGAGAGGGGGGAGCCACGGAAGGGGGGGCGGCGGAAACGAGGAGGCGTGTGCGAGGAGGGAGGGGGAATGGGCAGGGCGCGGGGTGGAAGGGGCGGGAAGGAGAGCAGACAGAGGAAGGGGCGGGGAACAGACGAGAAGGGGCGGGGGGGGCGGGGGGGCGGGAGAGCGAGGTCAGGGCTGGGCGAAAAGCCGGGGCCAGGGCGACTGCGGTATCGCCGCGGCCTCTGCCAAAGGTCGCGCTCATCCTTCGGGGCGGCCGGGTAAGGAACGCCCCTGTCCTCCTCGTCCTCGTCCTCGTCCCCCTTCCCCGTGCTCCTTCTCCCTCTACCCCACCCCTCTGAATCCCCCTCGCTTCCCCTCCTCCTTGCTACCTTTTGTCGCTCTTTCTCATCCTCCCTCCGCTCGCACCCATTCGCCCTATTACTCCTCCCTCAAACCTCCCACCTCCCCCCTCCTCCTCCTCCTCCTCCTCCTCCTCCTCAATTCGCTCCTCCTCTGCACTTCTTACTTGCCCTAGTCCCTCCCTCACTCACTCCACCTCATTTGCCTACTCCTTCTCCTCATTCTCCTCCAACTCCACCTGCCCCTCCTCCCTCCTCCCCCCTCTCCTTTTTCCCTTCCCCGCCCCACCCATCCAACTTCCTCTCCGCCCGCCCAAACCCTCTCCTCCACCTGCTGCTCCTCGTCGTTCCTCCCTCCTCATGCACGACGGGCTTGTGGTCGACCTCGGCCGCAACTGGAACAATACATGGCACCTCTTCCGGCCAGTGCGCCGCAAACACTGCCCAACAAGGTGTCCGAAGTGGCCTATGCTAGACTGAGACTGATCCGAACCGTCACAGTATTCCAGCACGCTTCGGATGGCGCGGCTGAATAAACCACAAGCGACCATCCGCCCACTCCCCATGTGGCTCACCACCGGGTGATTCGGCGTGATGGTCTGTCGTAAACTTCCTGGTGACTCCGCTGGTTTTGGCTCTCCTAGACCCTCTACAAAAGACCCTTGGCCCCCGGCCATAGACTGCATCACCTACTCCAGGCGTGTGCAAGATGGCCGAAGACGGTTCATGAGCTCCCTCAAAGAGCATCTCGATAGGCCTCAAGAAGCAACCAATAGGCCCAAGACTGCCCGGTAGGCCCTGACAACAGCTCAAGAGGCGCCCATATGCACTGAGTTTTACATTTCGCAGGGCGGCCCAAAGCAAGGGCCTAAGAGGGCCCCCATATTGACAAAACATGCTAACCTATCCTGTTTACTGAATGTTTTGCCACCTCAGCCTTTCAGCCCAAAATGGGCACCAAGAGGGCCACGTGCCCCAAGATGGCCCCAAGATTTTTCAAGCGGAGTTCAGAATTGCCTGATCGATACCCAACGTGCTCCCACAGCGGCCTAACAGGGTCTCAAAAGCTTCCACGACGGCTTAAGGGGCGCCCGAGAGGACCCGAGATGTCCCCAGATGGCACCCAGACTTGCCCGGAGTGGCCCCCCAAACCACAAAATTATCCCCACGGACCCCACGATGGTTCGGAGAGACCAAGAGGTCTGAGAACCCCCAATTCTGCTAAATCGTCCCCCGAAGTCGTCCAATTGTTTTCGAAACGGCCAGGGGGACACAGTCCAGGTGTTTTGCCAAACCGTGGCCCAATGCCTAACCACAGAAGCGCTGTCACACAAAACGACAAGAACTGGCGGCGGCTCGCCTGAGACTCCTCCGATCAGGCAGAAGAGGCAGCGGGAGCGAGGCACAGGCCTGCCTCAACTCAGACTGCGGTCGGAAACTCTTGGGCAGCGTGTCGCCGCGGCCGCCCTGGCGATGCGCTGTGCCTTGCGAGCGGGCAGCTTGTGTCGCACCGCCCCGCGGGGCGGGAGGCCCGGAGATGCTCGAGACTTTGGCGCCCAGGGGCCGCGAAGCGGACAAAGTGCCGCGCCGCAGCGTGGTGGGCCAGAACCGGCGGGCGGAACGACACGCTATCCAACAGTTCCCGGAAGTGTTTCCAAACAAGCCTTCGGGGGCGGCCAAGAGTGGGGCGTCCAAGAGGGGGGGGGGCGCAAATCATGGCCGGCGGCATGTGCGCGGCCCAGGGGAGGGGCCCAGGGACGTAGTGGAATAAGAAGAGACGCCATGAAATCTGGGGAAATATCATAGCCCCCGCCATGATATCAGGGGGGGGGGGACGGGAGAGAGGGGGGGGGGAAAGGAGAGGGGGAGGGATAGGAGAGAGGAGAGGAGGTGGGGAGGGGCCGGGATCATCACCATCACCATCACCATCACCATCACCATCACCATCAACATCACCATCACCATCACCATCACCACCACCATCACCATCACCATCACCATCGTCACATCACCATCACCATCATCATCATCATCATCATCATCATCATCATCATCATCATCATCATCATCATCATCATCATCATCATCATCATCATCATCATCATCATCATCATCATCATCATCATCATCATCATCATCATCATCATCATCATCATCATCATCATCATCATCATCATCATCATCATCATCATCATCATCATCATCATCATCATCATCTGGAGCGCCCCGGATCGGCGGCACTGGCAGGAGGCCACTACAATATCATGGCCCCCGCCATGATATCCCCCCCCTAGTCATCACCCCCCTCTTTGCCGCCCCCGAAGAGCGACACGCTATCCAAGAGTTCCCGGAAGCTTCTCCAAGCAGGCCTGGGCCGACGGCTTGGGGCACACTGGCGGGACGGACGCCAGGTCAGCTTTTTTCCCGGCAAGTTGGTCAAGACACGCTGGCCTGGCTTTGAGTCGGGCGTGTCCCCCTACAGGGGGATTTTCGACGAAATATAAAAAATACGCAATACATATTCCAAAATGGCAAAACAAATACTCAAAAAATAGTCCCCCGACTATTTTTGTTGGACTTTTTTTGGATGTTCCCCCTGTAGAGTGACAGGCCCGACTTAAGCATAGCTTTTCGGGAGAAAGTATCTGAATCAGATGCTCGACTTGTGCTGCTCCCATCGTACTTAAAGGACCACATCCCGACACAAAATTCGAGCGCCCAGAAAAGTGCCGAAACAGTGTCGAAGGAGTGTCGCCTCCTAGGGCCCGACACGTGAAAACCCTCCAGTCTCGGTACGTTCTTGGTGCTCGAGATTCTCTCTGGTGACCAGGTTAAAGTAGGTTGGAACATCATAAGGGCAAACCCGCTCAAAATCTGTCCCCGGACCCCTCCCGGGGTCCGTCTGGTGGAATTGTTCATCTCGCATCGGCCCAGAACGGCCCCCAGGGGCCGAACAAACAAACAAGACGCTTCGAACCCAACGCCTCGAAGGCCCCCCTCCTCCCTCCACCTCCTCCTCCTCCTCCGCCTCCTCCGCCGAGTGAAGGGGCCCTGGGACACACAAACCAATAGACACAAATAACAGGATTCCCATTACTTTCCCATAGTTTCTGGGATTTCGTCTCCCCCCCCACTTCCCATAGTTTCCCAAATGTTCTGGGGAATCGACGATGAATTGTGTCTGTATATTTTCTTACCTGCTGATAGAGGCCCCCCTGGATGGGGTCCGAAGGGAAACGAGCGCGTTCCACTACTCGCAAAGAGACTACTCGCAGATGGCCTGGATCCGCCGGGGGAGATCTACGAGAAGTTGCATCGAAGCAGACATGTGTTTTTCGGACGTTTGCGAGTAGGCGCTTTGCAAGTAGTGCAACGCGCTGGGTGAGAGTAGATGGGGTCGGAGGATCGCGCCGCATCGCCGATGCATCGGCGATGCATCGGCGACAAGTGCGGTGCTTCGGCCACACCAGCGTGGAGACAATCGGGCTCCACATCGAGCCGCATCGGCGATGCATCGGCGATGCGGCGCAATCCTCTGACCCCATCTACTCGGACCCCATCCAGGAGGCCTAGAGCCGCGGGGCTCAGGCCGGCGGGAGTGAGGAGGGACGTGGGAGAAGCGAGGGATGAGGATCGTCCTGGCAAGACGGAAGAGGTACTTATGGAGGGCCGCAGGCCGGCAGCTCCTTCTCCTCGCTCTCCGACTCGGTGTAGGAAGACTCGGTCTCCGAATCGGAGTCGCGATGCCCCTCGGACGGGCGCGGCGGGCGCGCCTGGCCGAGCGAAGGGACCCGTCTTGGCAGGCCTCGAGGCTCCGCCCCCGCTGGCCCAACCCGCCCGGCCTCCCTCCTGTTGCCCCTCCTCCCTGCCTCCTCCCTCCCTCCCTTCTCCTCCTCCTCCTCCTCCTCCTCCTCCTCCTCCTCCTCCTCCTCCTCCTCCTCCTCCTCATCTCTGCTCCCCCGTCTCCTGCCTGCTCCTCCGCTTCACCCTCACCCTCACACTGCTCTCTGCTGCTGCTGCTGCCAATCCTCCTCCTCCTTCTCCTCCTGCTCCTCCTCCTCATCATCACCAGCACCCATCATCACCACTCTCCTCCTCGTCAGCACCCAACATCGTCATCATCCTCACGATCATCCTCATCCTCATCCTCATCCTCCTCCTCCTCCTCCTCCTCATCATCATCATCATCACCATCATCGTCATCGTCAGCATCATCATCAGCATAATCAGCATCAGCATCAGCATCAGCAGCATCATCATCATCATCATCGTCATCGTCATCGTCATTGCCAGCATCATCATCATCATCACCATCGTCATCATCATCGGCATCCTCATCATCATCATCATCATCATCATCATCATCATCATCATCATCATCATCATCATCATCACCATCACCATCACAATCATCATCATCATCATCATCATCATCATCATCATCATCATCATCATCATTATCAACATCATTATCATCATTCATTACCATCATCGTAAACAACACCATCATTATCACAACCCAACATAAGAAGCCGTAACCCAACATGCGTCACCATCATGACCAGCAACAACAGAACCAACGTCATCATCATCATCATCATCGTCATCATCATCATCATCATCATCATCATCACCATCGTCATCATCATCATCATTGTCATCACCATGCTTATCATCAACCGCATCATCAGCATCATCATCAGCATCATCGTCAGTACCCTCATCATCGACACCATCATGGACATCAGCATCATCATCACCATCATCACCATAACCATCATCACAATGATCATCCTCATCATCCTCATCATCAACACATCATCATCACCATCACAATCATCATGACCATCTCCGGCATCATCATCGCCACCGCCATCACCATCATCGTAATCCCCTCCCTCCTCCTCCTCATCAGCATCATCATCAGCATCAGTAGTGTCACCTTCATCATCATCATGGCAATCCTCATCCCCATTCTTAACATCATCATCAACATCACCATAATCATCAACATCATCATCATCACCACCATTCTCATCAAAATCATTGTCGTCATCAATACCGTCGTCATCGAAACCGTCATGATCATGAAATCACCATCATCACACTGGTCAGCATCATTACCATCACCATCAGCACCATCATCATCAGTATCATCAGCATCACCACTACCACCGCCGCCATCACCATAATCATCATCCCCCTCCTCCTCCTCCTCCTCCTCCTCTTCCTCCTCCTCCTCCGCCTCCTCCCTCCTCCCCTTCTCATCAGCATCATCTTCGTCCTGGCCATCATCATCATCATCATCATCATCGTCATCATCATCATCATCATCATCATCATCATCATCACCAGCATCATCATCATCATACTAATAATGGTAAGCATCGTCCACCTCCCCCTCCTCAT